AGACACGTTAGAGAGAGAAAGAAACGATTAAATGCAAACCACTCATATTTGTTCAAATCATGCAAACTACCTTTATCCGTTGATTTTATTGTTTAATTTAATGATTTTGTTTCAAGAAATTGTTTAATATTATGAAATTATTTTTATATAATACTTATGACATTTTAATAAAATTGTATCATATATTTATTTAAAACTAATATATTGAAGATGATAATATTCATGATTAACATCTTTCACAATGAATATGATTAATCAATCTCTCATAATTACAAAAAAAGAAAGACAAAAATAAAAAATTGTGATTTGTTGGATGATGTTTGTACGGTTTGTACAAATAACGTGGTTTACAAAGTAAACCTTATATATATATATATACCATACCTCCTTCCTCTCACACATTAATATGAAATGGAATTGTTTAATATATTTTTTAATTTTAAAATTACATTTTATACCTTTATAGTTACTTAACATATATAATTATATATTAACTAAAATATGTTTTAATTTTAATAAGTTACATCATTATAATCGTGTTCCAAAACCTTCTGAATGAGCTCAATATTTATTTATTTTTATTTAATTATATTATTATATCATATATACTATGAAAAAATATTTCTAATACTTATATTTTACACCCTTGTAGTAAATTATTTAATTTATGGGTAAGTCACTTGCTTTTTCATTTTATATTTTACACCCTTATCACATTAACATACATAATAACATATTAACTAAAACATGTTAAGAAATATGTTTTTACTTTAACAAGTTACATCATTATAATCATCTCGTCAATACCTTCGAAATGAGCCCAATATTGAATATAATAAAAGTATAAAACAAAAAATGATAAAGTAAGAGAAGTAAATAAATTAAATAAATATTTATAAGGGTATAAAGTATAAATATTCAAGATTCTTTTCGTATAAAAACAACAAAAATTGAAGGATATAATCATGTTGGACCGGTAACTGCACTAGGGAGCCGCCCACGTGATATTGYCCRCTYTRKGCTGCCCCGGGGTTTCCCCGCACGGCAACAACCCCTCACGGTTTTGCTTTCTAAAACGCGTCACTGGTAGGAGAAGACTCCCACTTCCTTATAAGGAAGAGAAGAC